ACAGCATTTGTGGGAGCAGCGAAGGACATCAAAAGAGCAATGGAGAGCTGGCACAAGGAGGATGTGTTCCAACATTTGTCGGTCAAAGGTACCGAGTGGCGATTCATGACACCAGCAGCTCCGCACCAAGGAGGAATATACGAAGCGGCAGTAAAATCGATGAAGCACCATCTGGTCCGCGTCATCGGGCTAAGTGTGCTTCCGTTCGAGAAATTGAGGACGCTGCTTGCTCAGGTTGAAGCGATACTCAACTCGCGTCCGTTGCATCCATTGAGCGACGATCCAGAGGATTTTCAAGCACTGACACCTGGGCATTTATTGAACGGAGAGCCATTGGTTCTTCCTTTACCCTTTGCGATTCCCGAGACATCGTCATCCAAGGGTGTTCAGCTTTGGAAAGAGCGACAGCGAATGGTTAAGACCTTTTGGGAGCGGTGGCACAATGAGTATTTGACGACACTCCAAGAGCGGAAAAAATGGCGGAAATCTTCTGAAAGAGTGCAACTACGTCAGCTGGTGCTCATAAAAAGCGAAAATTTTCCTCCTGCGCAGAGGGCCATGGGACGTATCATACAACTTCATCCGAGCGAGGACAATCTGGTCCGGTCAGTAGCGATTTAGACAGCAACGAATAAGCTGCGAAGGCCAGTGCAGAAAATTTGTGTCCTACCGGTGGAGCTGAACGAGAACTAGTGGGCTAAATCAAGTTTTTACTATTGGAAAACCGTTGGTTTTCGGCAGGACTGTTAAGTATTGAATTTATTACAAATCTGGCAGCCTGCGAGTTGCTTAAGCAAAATACTTTAAATAAAGAAGTGTGGCTGCCCATGTGTGGTCGGGTGAGCCTACCGAAGTACAGAGAGAAGAGTGGTCCTTTTTTATTATCGGTTAGCTGATTTTGGTGGAGTGGGTTTAGCCTTGGCTATTCTAGTACAAAACAGATAATTACTGTGTCTTAAATATCCACAATCGCATACAACAAGGGGACTTTGACAGAGTAACAATTATATGGACACCTAGCCATAAAGGGATCGTAGGCAACGAGAAAGCTGACCGTATTGCAAAACACGCTATAGTTAGTGATCAAACCCTAGATGTAAAACTGTCTGCGGCTGAAGCCCTAAATACTATCAAAAACCAAATTCGAGAAGAGTAGCTTGATAGCTTTCAAGCCTTTTCGATTGAAAAACCTAACCTTTTTTCCAAAGTTTTTTCATGTGGGAAAAAGAGAACCTGGTTTTATAATTGTCCGCTAACGCATAAAACAATAAAAATCCTGAACAGAATTCTCTCAGGCTTCACTTATGACACTGCTTACTTATATAAAATCAAAGCCATCGCTAGCAACACATGCAGATGTGTTCAAATCGACAGCTACATTCATCAAACTTTTCACTGTCGGCTGTTAAACGACACCAGAATAAAATTTCGAGATTTTTCAAAACAACGCAGATTTTCACGATTTATTCCGAGACATGAATTTTTGCAAAATCACTCAACTAGCCGATTTTCTACAAAAAGTCGAAGCTAAATTTTAAACTCATAGGCGCATATTCATAGGCATATTTTGTACTCAACTAAGTCGAAACTATTCTAGGTCACAACTAAAGCTATTCATAGTCGCCTTAGTTTCGACTTTTCTGGCTAAGTGCCAACTTAAAATTTAGTTTCGGCTGCAGCTGCAACTAAGTCGTAACTAGGAAGAAGTATTTTATCAAATTAAGGGAAAACAGACGAAATATGTAAAAATTAAGTTGGTAGAGGGTGATTTCGGTAATATTGAATAATCTCCAATTAAAATTTACAAAGATCGATCCATTTTAATCGGAAGATGAAATTAAATGCGTATTACAATTCGAATAAAGTTACATCACAATTTTATAATTGGAAAAGTTTAGATAAATTCTCAAATAATAAGTCAGTTTCACGCTAGTTCTTTTAAAGTAAATTTGTGCATAACATTTAGATATCTACTATTTGTATGTTTCACAGCATGCTTTCGATAAACATCGACTTCACATCACTGCGGTTGTTCTGGCTATTTCACACAATTAACAAGAAAATGATACCTTATTCTTTTGCATAATCATGCAATGAAAATAAAAATTACATAAACGGATGATCAAACTTGACATTATTTAATAAAAATGTAATTTTTCCAAAATATCGTAAAGAAAAATCGATACATTTTCACACTCGTTTTGCTATATCGTAAACTAAGTCGAAACTACTTAGTAGAAGTCTGAAATGCGACTATGAATAGAGGTAAATTTTAAGTTGGTACTTAAATTTAAG